TAGGATATAATTAATTCCTACATAAGCCCTGTATACCCTACTACCCCCAGTAAGGAAAGGTTGTGGGTTCAGATTGCTTTTGAGCCAAACCCGTGGGATGGAACAGGTTGGCTAGGGGTTTAGCAGAGGTGTGTTTAGGGCTTCACATATGGAACACAAAAGGGGCCTATGAACCTTACATCCTAAACCCTAAACCCTCCACCCAAAGCCCTAAACCCTAAATCCTCAACCCTAAACCCTAAACCCTAAACCCTCCACCCTAGACCCTAAGCCCTTTGCAGCTGAAAAGACAGCATGACGCCTTGGCCGAAGTAGTGCCCGTCTCCAGGAGGTTCACAAGAGGCGGGATGGCTCCAGCCTTGGTCGAACTCGTTTTCAAAGGTACGGTTTAGGGTTTAGGGTTGAGGATTTAGGGTTCAGGGTTTAGGGTTTAGGGTTGAGGATTAGGGTTCAGGGTTTAGGATTTAGGGTTTAGGATTCAGGGTTTAGGACTTAGGGTTTAGGCTTTAGGATTAGGGTTCAGGGTTCAAGGTTTAGGATTTAGGGTTTAGGGTTTAGGCTCTAGGGTTCAGGGTTTAGGATTTGGGGTTCAGGGTTTAGGATTTAGGATGATGATGTTTAGAGCTATGGGCCCCTAGTGGGAACCCTTAACCCTATGGTTCTTATACACCTATTACGTACGCTTGAAGCCCTGAGGTCATAGTTGGAGCATTACGACAGGTTACAGCAATGGTAATGTTTAGGGTGTAGGGTGGTTTGAGGGGTAGGTCTCAGAGATATGTAGGAACATCTAGTGGCGAAGAGGACACGATAGTGTCATATTGGGATAGGTGAGGGTATAAAGGGCTATGTTGGGATATAACTTTTCCCTATAGTTTGCATGGGGCTTATAAGATCATGTAGCCCAAAACCTTCGCAGCACGCGTTTCATGTTATGGGCAAAATGGGTTGTAGGGATTCATGATGAGGGATGATTTGAATTGAGGACCTCTATGACTCTATCAGGATGTAGTCGTCATTCCCAGACAAGCACGGGTATGCCTCGAAAACTAATGGCCCAGCGGGCCCACCGCCGATTCCTTAAAGACCATTGCACGTCAATACGAGGAATAACGTAAGCAAGGGCAAGGGTATTCTGTATTGAATTTGTTGGACACTGCCATTGCCACGTCATGCCACGTCGAACACCATTTAAATTCCTCACAAAGTCTTGCGCTTGCGAACTCCTCTACGCAATGATCCTGCACAATTCCCGACAAGGCCAGATTGGGTCCAAAAAGAAGGACGTCTCATCACCTGCAATATGTCAGCTTACCCGCCTGAAACTGAGGCTGCCGCGCTGGCGATCAAGGCCTCAGGAGTATCTTCCAGGACCTCATATGGGAGTTTCCCAAAATTGGGGGTACCCTTTTAGGGGTCCCCATAATAAGGATTATAGTATATTGGGTCCCCTTACTTAGGGAAACTACCATATGTTCTATGGCAGCAGGACTCTCGCTGGAGGGTTTGGCAAATCTGTTCAGGGAGATGGGCGTGCCAAGGCGGCGCTTCGTAGAGGGTTCCAGTTTAAGACCGAAGTGCCAGAGCTTCCACGCCAAGATCGTGAAGGCCCTCAATGTATACAGGATCCTTGCTAGACCGCAGCATGTCAATATGTCTGAAATGATCGTAGCATCGTAGCATCTTCCCCAACGGTCCTATGCCGTGGAGTGCGCTCGGGGGGTCGGGGTCGCCTGGACAAAGGGACCTCTCTGACCATATGTTGTCGTCCCCGCTTAACAAACATTCTGGCAAATGGCTGTTATACCTCACTAAAGATTTCATCAAAGAGAATCTTTGGGCAGACCCTGCATCCAAACCTGACAGCCGTCATCCCTGCCCCGGAATCCCCACCCACGAGAGAATCTCGAATTTGAGATCGCCTGCCCCAAGCTCCTGCAACCTGAAGGCCTGTGCAAGAGCCTGAGCCATAAACCCTACACCCGCATCATCCCGCAAGCCTGAGATGCATGCAAGCTACCCGAATGGGCTTAGCCCAAGATGGACCCCAAGTCTTGAAGTTTGTCTTCTGGTCAGGGAAGGTGTCTCAGCTGCAGGTTGTTATTGCAAAAACCACGTGTCACCTATGAGAGTGTATTAGGGAGACTGCAGGTCATGAAGCGGCACGAAGCCTGAACCCTTGGAGGGCTCACCTACCGGACCTTTCTTTGCCCTGGGTTACATGGGGATAATGGAAAAGAAAATGGAAGCTACTATATTATTTAGGGTTTAGGGTTTAGGGGTAACATTGGGATAATGGAAAAGATGCGAAATTGGCTTGTTTTCCTATCTGAGAGCAGGTTGTGCTTAGCCGGTTTAAGCTCCGAAGTCTTCTTCACGCCTGAACCCCAAAATCCAGATACATGCATGTGTGTCTATGCGCATGTACCTAAGTATGTACGTAGATAGGCAGACGTGTACATCAAGAATATGCGGGACTCAGGTGCCCCTTGAAATGGGTTCCGTATGGCAAAGGGTGGTTTCCATCATCCAGGGTTTAGGCTCCATCATGCAGGGTTTAGGGTTTTAGGGTCAGGGGCTTCCTAACAGGCCCAAAGAGCTCAAATACAAGTACAGGCTCTCAGCAAGCTTAGGGACAGCATTGACATGATTTTGGGTGAGGCTTTGCTGAACAGCTTAGACCCCTAGCTTGCCCCGCGCATGCAGTTCATGAGATTTCCAAAGATTAGGGTACCCTTAAAAAGGATCAGAACATACTGGGATACCAATATTGATACTCGTGCCCTTTGGAGAAAAGCTTGAGCCCAAAGCGTGTGCTGTTACAAGACTAGCAGATCTAGGTATGCAGACTGCAACATGAGACTGCAATCTACCCTAGACCCTAAACCCCTATGAAGGGGCTTCCGGACTCTAGGATAGAGCGCCTGGTTGTAGCTTGAGAATACAGTTGCCAATAGGTGATGGCCATTGCCATGGGATACCTAAACCCGAAAGTAGGTAAAATAATAGTCCAAACACCCCTAAAAGTAGCCCCAAGGCCATTATTTTACATACTTTTGTGGTTGACGTAATTTTTTTTTGATATAGACCCTGTAGCCGGAACCTTCTCACCGTCTCAAACTCAAGAATGATCCCCGTCTCACAAAGTTCTCAAAAGGGATCAAAAGGGGTTGACAGCAGTCGATGACAGGACCTCCAAGAAGACCTTAGGACCAGGGTTTAGGGTTTAGGGGTTAGGCCTGTAAAAGAAGAACAGTAAGAACCATTATGAATAAACAATTTCCTAGCAAATCATAAGAAACATTTTGAAAATCGTATGCCAGTAATGAAACAAATGCAAGTATCTTGATCTTAACTACCCTTGCCTAGAGCCAACGGCTCCATAGATCTTAAATCGTGCGCGGTCATATGAAGGCAGCACATAGGACCTAGTCCCTAAGTAGGTTGATTTGAAAGGCTACGGACACTTTGTAGTTTCCATAAATAGGGGGACCCAATGTAGACCCCAAAATACTATAACTTATAGGGACCCCGAAAAAGGTAGCCGTAGTTTTTGGGAAGCCCCAATATCCCTCAAATGCTCTTTGCCACTTCGAAGCCAGGGCTGAAATTGCTGTCTTCATCGACGCTGCTCTCGCAGCAAGCGTACATCTTCCGCAAGAGCTTGCGAAATCCTACGATCCTACGGTTCGATGTTTGAAGTGTATATCTGTGCGGACGGAAATCTGTGGCGTGAAGCGCAGAGGACTTCAGATCCTTGCCCTTGACATCGCTGCATCTCATAATATATGGCAGTTTCGGGACCCCAATATAGACCCCAAAATACTACAATCCTTATTCTAGGGACACCTAAAAAGGAAGCCCTGATTTTAGGAAACCCCCATATCAAAAGAAGAACAGCAGCGTTGTCCACTCAAGGCTTTTCAAAAAAGCACGGTCTTACCATGCTGTTGTGGAATGAGGGATACTTCTTAGCCTGAGCTTTGCCATTTCTATCAAGCTGGGTGCTGGAGTCCCACTTTGGGAGTTCCAGCTTGAGCCAAAGTTGTGTCGAGATGGTCTTAGGAGGGCTCTGGGGCTGCCGGTGGGAAGGTTTTCATGTAGGGCCGAAACAAGTTGAGGGCTGTCTCGCAGAAGTCTACAAGAGCTACAAGTTATCAGGGCATAGGGCTAATACAATGAAACCATTCAGGCTTCTACATGTCTTGTCCAGCAAAAAGGTCTTAAACCTTTCCTGGCAAGTCCTTTGTCATAATCGTAGCATCCTCGTAGTTTCCCAAAATAGGGGGATCCCAATTTTGACCCCCAAATTCCTATAGTCCTTGTTATGGGGACCCCCAAAAAGGCACACTTAACTTTGGCTTCCCCATCTACAGCCAACAGCACTGCTCTGGCTTTCTGTTTTGGCACGGCGAAGCTATACTGGGGTTTGAGATACTTATGATACACCTGTCCAAACTTCCAAACTTCTGAGAAGCCGAAAAGATTCTACGAAGGTTGAAATGCGTTGCATTAAAATGTGTTGGGGGAGCTAGATCCTGATAGATTCCCCTGACTGACCAAAGCCCATCGCAAAGCTCAGAAAGCAAGCATGTTGGAGTGGCAAGGAAAGAAACGTCACACAAGCACTCAAAAAGGATGTTCATTCGCAGAAACTTCATTTGCACTATTCTAAGCTTGGAAGTTGGGCGTCATGCCTTGGACAAGCCGTGAATCAGGTTTAGGGTCTTGTGTACATGCATCAAAACGGCGTCTCCTAAGCAGATAGACAAGGCTTTGTCGGGCCGAGCGCATTTTTGGGACAAATGCCCACACGGCCATGCCTAAGTGAAGGCGCAAGTTGCAAGTATTGTGTCAGCCAACAGGCTGCTTGAGGATCAAGGACGTTTCTGAAGCGTGAAACTGACAGACAACAACGAAGCCCCACAAAGACCTCCTAAACTCTAGTCCCTAAACCGAGCCTGAATCCTGAATGCTACAAATCAGAGCAAGCACGTGTCCTTTGCAGGCAACTTCGCTGCCCGCTGCTCATTCAGGGAGTCGAAATATCCTCATCCCACCATAGCGTTCTTGGGGCGCGAGATTCAGCAGGGAATTGAAGAAGAGGACGACTCTTCAAGCAAAATCCATCAAAATCCATCACGTCAACTTGAGGACTCTCATGTGCACTGTTGTTGCGGCCGCTCTGCTGGTAGTTTCTTTTGCTACTATGAAGATAAGGCAAGGTTACAGGTTTTCAGGTCGCTGCAGCCGGCTTTTCAAGAAGGAGGCTGGACATTCAACAAACAAATTCATGCAGAAACTGCGCGTGCTGGCCCTGAGCATCAAACGTAAGACCTAAATCAATTCATATCTGTCCCCCAGGTTCCAACTGCAATATGCTGAAAGTACAGGAACTAAGTTAAACTTGCAGCCTCCGTCCTGCCAATACAAACAAGAGCTCTTGAGCTAGATCTTGGGCCAAGTCGGAGCTTTCGGCTACAGACCTACAGCAGGAAGAAGTGTACTGGCCGTCACCAGCAGGAAGTACTATACTAGGCCTTTGGGTGGCTTGCCGATTTCGGGATCCCCCCTAGATTCCGAAATCCTGGAGGTTTTTTTTGCTCACGCACCCCCAAACAAGGCGCCCGAGTTTCAAGGCAAAAACCAAACTAGAAAATCGGGATTTCTAGGGGATTATGGGAGGGCAATATATAAGGATATGGGGCCCGACACCCCCAACCTCACCTTCACTGGGTTGCTGTTGGGGAACTTAAACTTAGTTACCATAGTAGGTGTATACATATGTATATATATATATTACATCATATGGTTTCTCCAATATAGTAATTTATACGAACTGTAGTCTAAACTCCTAGTATCCCCTGTAACAACACTCATAATAATCCCCCCTATAATCCCCTGTATAACCCCCCATTAGGGAGTTTAGACTATGGCTCATATCAAGTTCCTTTTCAACAACTTCTATTCCCCCAGTTTCCAATTTCCTCTTCTTTTCCATTTGATTCTCCATTATAGGGGGGATAATATAGTGATTTATAGTAAGTTCCTTATCAAAAAAAACCCAGTAAACCCTAAACCCTACAGTAACGCAGTTCAAGGTGGTTCCAGAAGCCCAGGAGCTCGCCAGCGAATCGCACCCGTCGCGGGCGCTTAGCCCTTCCGGCCACCTGCTGCGCTGCTCTCTTAGGTCTAGGGTTAGGGTTTAAGGTTGCAGTCTTGTAACAATAAGAGCTATTAAACTCCTTTAAGGGGGATAGGTAGGGGAGTATATAATTATACGATGGAGTATTATAGGGCTTATTAAGGGGGATACTAGGAGTTTGGACTATAGCTCTTATGGGGTTTCTCTCAAACAAGCGGGCTGGGGTGGGGCGTTGGGCATCTTAGCATTTGTAGGGATTCTACTTCACATCGGCTCTACTGCGCTATCGTTGCTTTTGGTTTAGGGTTGTGTGGACTTTCGGGTTTGGGGATGATGATTTTCTGGGTGTTCGGGATTTAGGTTGTTTAGGGCTCACACTGGGCAAGTGTTCCTAGTTCCTAAACCCCTCTACAAACCTCAACACGATCCACTACCTGAGAAGCTGCTGCATGAGTGTAACTTAGCTTTCAGGGCTTGAGTCCATCACACCCTAAACCCTATGAAATTGGGGTTATATTAGGGTTATATTAGGATAATGGAAAATAAAATGGAAACTACTATTGAGGGATCAATCCATAAACCCTAAACCACGACAGCCGAAGCTGCCTGGCTGATCTTGTTCTCACCTTTGGTAAGTTGGGAATGAAAGAATGGAAGCGAACATGCAAACTACAATAATGGGTTATACAGGGACTGTATGGATCCGCAGTAATTCCTAGCTAGCCAAAGGTAAGGTGGTTTTGTTCCTAGCGCAAAGGGCCGCAGCACCCTTCTAGTATACACTTGGGGCCCAAAGACTACCTACAAGTGCCATAGTCTAAACTCCTAGTATCCCCCTTAATAAACCCTATAGTAGTCCCCTATATAATCAATGATACAACGCCCCTTGGGAGTTTAGACTATAGCTCATGTTAAGTTACTTATCGACAACCTATATTCCCCCAGTTCCCATTTAATTTTCCATTTCTTTTCCATTTGATTCTCCATTATAAGGGTTTAGTGAGTTCAGGGACTATTCATGTACTGTATAGACGGCCTGCCCTTGGAACTCTAGGCCTGCAAGGCCTGCCACTGGCTGCAAGCTAGCAAAATACCTAGACCGTTCGGGCAGACGCATAGCACGACCCCAACTTACAAGATTCCCAGGATTCCTAGGACTGGATCAAAACCTCGAAGCACGCGACACGTTTAGGGTTTAGGGCTTAGTTTCGGGTTTAGAGGAGTAAGAGGAGTCGTTTCCCTTGCATTCCTGAAAGTTCTGCAACCCACCCGAATCATTCAACCTCTGAATCATAAAGGAAAAAGGGAAAATACTAGGTTGTCAGGGATTATAGGTACAGGGATGAACAGGAGCTCCTGTAGTGCGCTTATTCCTCCATCCCGTACTATCAATGAACCAAAGAGACAGTCGTACGTCATAAGCCCTACATGCCCCCAGTTTCCACTTGTTGCTCAACTTGCTCTTCCATTTCTGTCAATTCCCTACTAACAGTTACTAACACCCCACAAGATGATACAGACCTGGAACCTAGGCTACAGGACGGCATCGCCTGCAGAGCATATAGTCCGACATCATCCTTTGCATCAGAAAAATAGCAGAATTCGCAGTGGTGCTGGAGACATGCCTCGTATGTCTAGCCAGAACTGTGCAACGTCTTGCGAGGTCAAAATCATGGCTAGCAATCTTGATCAACTGATCAACCTCGATTAAAGCTGCTCTTCGATGCTGAGTCGTGGGCCCCCAGGCTGATCTTAAAGCTCCCCTGGGTCTTGCCGGGTTAGGTTGTACGTCAAGTTTAATCAAGTTATGGAAGCGTTCGAATAGGAAACTGCAGTACTTGTGTGTAAGTTTGCATCAGCGTAAGTTTACAGAAATATCCCAGGCCAAGAAGTCAAGGTCCTGACTTTCTCATGCGTTCCTTTTGCGTCGTAAAGGAGCCTCCCCAACCCAAACCTATGAGATGCCTTGCAAACAGACAAGGTTGTGCAAGTTTCTGAGTCCTTGCGGGCAACGTGGACCCCACGCAAGGCCCTGGGTCATGCGAGGGTATCATATGATAGCACCCAGCTCACGGTTCCTGCTGTCTCGTAGGCTGAGGTGAGTGATCGTCACTTCTGTAACCTACTAGCCTGGCTGAACGTGGTGCCTGCGGCCTCCTCAAAGGTAACGAGACATGCAAACAAGTGGACAAATCATGGCATGGACTTAGCTGTGGGCCATCACCCCAGAAATACCTGCCTTGCAGTAGCTCTAGGTATTCGGTAAGATGATACAAACTTGAGCAGGGAAAGTTGTGCTTCCTTCGTTTGGGGATCACCTACGCGCCTGCGTAGAGTTACAAATCTCAGGGGCGTGGTGTTTTTCACAATTGGGCACATGCCAACATCGTGTGGTTCCCGATTGTCGCCTCTTAAGCATCCACAAGTATACCCTTTGCCCTGAGCCCTTGGAAGAACAAGTCCCTCACAGAACCCTGAATAACACTTAGCCCCCTAACTTGAAGCACTGAGCCCAGAAAACAATACAGCTTGGCTGCTTTTCAACCGGCACCAACGACTCGTCTGAAATATCCGGTTCCGCATCAAAGCCAGCGTGGTACCATGAACTCAGCTACCCCGACCACGTCTGTCAACAGTTGTTTTGGGGCCCATGTTTCGAACAAAATCAAGGCATATCAGGAAATGAGCTGGCACTCTGCGTTAGACAGGCTCCATGCGGAGTTTAAGGGGCAGTTGGGGTCACAGACTTCAAGGTTCTCGTTTCGGACCGTTGCTAAAAAAATACAGGTTTGGAGGTTTGGGGCCTAGTGCTTCTTCGGGTAGGCTGCATTCGGGGGATCCTAGGGATCCATGCATGGAGTTGTGACAGTGGGATTGCCATACTTGGAGATGAGCAAGCCAATGTCAAGGCTTCCTTTTATTAGAAGTTTCTGAAAACAAGCTGGATCTTATGGATGTATTGTGTGATGCGGTTCGAACCACCAACACAAGGGCCAATGCAGTTGGAATAGGGTGCCACGTTGAACGGTGTCGGTAACAGTCGCAGTGGAATACGCACCTTATGGTTAAACACACAAGTTTGTGATTCCTTCGAGGAATTTGTGAAGCACGTTATGTAAAGGGACTATAATAATGGGCTTTATGCTTTGCAGTGAAGACTAGTACTGTATATGGATCTGTTCCCCCATTTCCTACTAACCACTCTCAAGTCAAGGGGGTCTACACCTTACCAGGCCATACGCCACACGCTCTACCCCCTCCCAACGTCCTCACAAAGAAGGAGGGCAGGCTGTGTTGGCGGGTGACGGAAAACATATCTTCAGCTTGCGCAGAGTCGCGAGGTAGGATGTAGGAGAGGCTTCTAGGACTTCCTGGATGACCGGGCTACTGACCTCTAGGTAGACAGTCCTGGATGTTCTTGAGTCAGGAAATGCATATGCTCTTCCCTTCCTTTTCTCGTGAACTGAGAATCCAAACCAGGTATGCATAAGAACGGCGGATCCGCCACTGGCCCTGAACGTTTGGAACCCATTCCAACCAGGGTGGTACTTGTCTGGGACCGCTAAGACAGGTAGCAGAGATGAACACTTCAAGGTCAAAGGCATGTATGTGTCACGATTACGTGGATGGTCTGTAAGGGTTTGGGATATGTGTGCGTGTGTGTGCGTGTCACTAACTCGTCTCCCCGAAAAAGCAACCCGCTGCCAACCACATCCATGGGACAGCAGGGGGACGATGAGGACTTGCTTCTCCTGGCGTGATTTTTTTTGTTCGCAGCTTGGCAGGACCAGTAAGAGTCGTTGCAGTCGTCGTGGTGCCAGCACAGCATCAGCAGCAGGCACAACTCATCAAGTTACTTATATAACCTTTATGTTATAATAGTTTCAATTGTGTTTTCCATTCCCGCTATATAACCCCAGCATATTCCTAGGATCCCTATATACTCCCTATAATCACGAGTCACATGAGTATTAGTAGTGCTATGATTGTTACTATTATTTTTATGAGTATCATTACTATTACTATGAGCATAACTGTTAAAGTTTGGTTTTGACTGGTTACTGTGTCAGCATCTTGGAAGCCAGATCAGATTGATCCTCGTGCCCATTATACCTGCTTTCTCTCCCTCCATCGCCCAACACTTAAGGGAAGGGTTGAGGGATTACAGCGAAAGAAGGAAGCTAAACATTAGGCTTTTGCATCAACCGTGCTTCCTGACAGTGACGCGCTCTGGCATAGATGTGCAAAACAATGCCAAGCTAGAATCTCGTTGCACGAGATCCTCGGGTACTCTACCCCAAACACTTTGCTGGCTACTCGCGATACGTTGGCTTGCAGTCTCAAGTGCTCCTGCTGACCTACGTCCTCAATAATAGCAATTTTCAGGGTAGTTTTAATAGTAATAATAGTACGCAATAATGACAGTAAGCCATAATAACGGTAATAATGATAGTTTCAATGATAGTAATACTGATAATCATAAAAATAGATAGTAGTCATGGTAATAATGATAATTATGCCAATACTAATAACAATACTAAAAGTAATCCGCAAGCCAGCCTCGTCCACCCATCCTGGCCTGGTACGCACCCCTAGCTCCTCTCAGTTGAGCAGTGCGTTGTAGTGATTGAACCCGGTAAAGAAGAGACCCCGGATTAATTGGATATTGGGATAAAATAGGGTAATGTAGGTTGTATAGGGATAATGGAAAAGAAAATGCAAACTAGTATACTGGGTTATATAGGGTTCATATATGGTTTAGGGATCTGCTGCTGATCGAATAGTCTACGGAAAAGACGGCTGTGATCTTCAATCTTTGTCGGGGGCTATACAACCTCCATAGAGAAGATCACTCAGTTCAAATTCCAAGTTCCCCTCTCATTTTACACCATTTTCCCTGCGCCTCTGAGTGTGTAACTAATGCCTTCTGTGGTGCCCATAATCTATAAACATCAGCTTCTTTTGGTCTACTTGGAGCGCGAACTTTTTCAGACCGATTGGAAACCAGGAGTTTTCACCAAGCTTTCAGAACTGCAGAGGGGCATACACGACGGCTGCTCCAATGGGCCAAAGGAGATCCAAATCTTGAAATGCATCTGCTCTTCCTTACACTTACTGTGAGCCAGAGTGCGTTCCCGCAAACATGGAACCCTGATATAGTCCCCCGTAAGTAAGAAGAATATGGCTTCGGGTATATGACAATAAGATCCCCATACACCTATTCTATCTACTTAAGGGAGACTATAACTGCAGAACTTCACCATAAGGGGCCAAGTATGTGCACATTTTGGAATCGCACCCTTCCAAAGAGGAGCCCAAATCCTGATGTCCGAAACCCTAAACCCTAAACCACATTCTCTAGCCAAAGGCCAGAGACCTAACGTTGCAGGGAATGTGGGGACCGCTGCGTGCTATGCTGGTCCTCGCACAAGGCCTCCAACTTCCTCGGGCGAGAATAGCACAGGACTATGGGTTTTCAGAACAGCTGAAGTCTTTCCCTGGGGATTCTGTACAATTTTTAGGATCCCTTCGAAGGGGCTTATAGGGATTATGTAGGGTTGCTTTCAGTATTTTGGGTTTAGGGCAACATCTATTAAACAAAAACAACCTAGCCACTTTGGACCCGAAGTCTATAAACGGGACCTACTTCAGGCTTCTTGGATGCTGAGGGGATTCTTCAGGGTGTAGCATGAAGAATTCTGCGAAGAAAGCAAAGGGGCATAAAGGGGCTCTGGCAGGAAGACCTCTGCATACCCTTTCAGAAGCTGCCCTAAACCCTCTTAAACGCATGCTGAGCCCTCAGCAGCCGAGCTCCGGACCAAAAGCCATATAAAGGGAGCAAAATAGGACCCCCACGCAGGGAAGCCCAAAAATATGGTAGGACTGTCACAGACATACAGCGACACTAGGAGTGTGATGACCCTAGTAGGTATAGTTATAGTCGCTTTACCATAAGCCTGAAGCTTGAAACAGCTGCGAATGTCTAATCCTTGAATCCGCAGCAAAGGGTGATGTAGGGGTTCTCCTTGTAAGTAAGGTCCCAACAGAAAAGATCTTCAAAACGCCATACACTCACCTAAATACGTTGAATGACACAATCAGAGGTTTGGTTAATCCTGAATACCCCAAGCCTAACCCCCCAGACCCTGAAGCTTACATTCAACCTGAACCCGAAACCTGTGAACTTAACCTTACTACCATCGCCAGGACGGGCAGCAGAAACTTCTCCACGGAATCTGTACAGCCATCCTGCCGGTGAGGTTTCTTATAATGAGAGGATAGGGTTCTATAGGGGTTCCATAGTAAAAAACGGCAAACGAATAGAACGTGCCGGATGTTCAGGGGCTAGGGTTTCAGGATATTTTCCCCGAAGTGGAGAATCAAGTGGGCAAAATTAAAATTACAGGGCAACAGTGATGGTAGTGGAAGATGTCTGTATTGGGATTAGTGTATGATAAAAGGGCTTGGGTAACATGATAAGGACCCGGTGGCTGTCATATTATGACTGCTGTGGCGTCATTATTCTATTCGCTGGGATTACCAAATCCTCTTTGTCTAGATGATTCAGGATATTTGCGCAAACATGTACAATGTAGGAAGCTTTTGGCTTCTGTTGGCTTGGAGTATGCAACAGTTTCGTTTGTAATTAAAGTTGGGGATAGGGTTGGGGTTGCTGCCTCCAATCTTGGTCAAACATGTATGGTTGGAGTGCTTGTGGTCGACGTTTTGTAGAAGGCGTTTCGCCTTCTTGAAAGTCTTTTCCTTGGCAGCCGGCCCTACTGCAACCCCTATGGAACAACATGTTTGTTTTTTCTGTTTTTTAGCAGCGCACCTATTAAAAGGATCTATCCGACCGCAAAGCACGGCCCATCTTTCACAACAAATCCTACATACTATGCATCTTCAGATAGGCACGGTCCTTTCCACAAGGGATGTTCATTTCTGACTAGGGATTTCTCACGAAAAGGGAGAATCCTAGCGCGCAGTCCTTTGGATGCATCCAAAGGTCATGGTTGCCGGGGCAGTAGAACACCTGTGCAGACGCGCATCCCTACGTGGAAGGTTAAGACTTCAAGGATCAGTTGCCTCATGTTAGTCTACTTAGCATGCACAAGCGTGAAAAGGAGTCAGACCTTACCATAGAAGCCAGACCCTCACCGATGGATCCACTGCTCAGAACCCGAAGGCGAGCTGTTGTGAGAGAACAGTCTTGTTTTGGAGCTCCACCTAGACCCCTATGCTCTACTTTTTGGGGGTACCTAATTTTGTGTCTAGCATCTCCTATATATACGGACTAGGTATCCTGGAAGAAGGGGTAGGATATATAGAGGTCTAGGCAGCATATTCAAAAAGACCTCTGCCCTGTTTTCTACATGCATCGGAGCCTGAACAACCACAGGGACTTGGGAGGGGTGTTGGGGAAGGGGGTATAGAGGCGCATTTTCATTTATCAAGGCTTATGCTTCATTCAAGGAACAGCCCTCCTGCACCGCCCTCCCCAACACCCCTTCAGATCCCTATGCAACAATGTGAGCTCCTGAGGCACTCTGCCCTCATCACTGCAGCGGCCTGTAAAAACAAGCAGGACGGGTGTTTGGAATATTGATTCATTCCTTTGTTCGCAGTGAAACTTGGGGCAAGAGCCGCGAAATGCAACCCCTGAACCCGAATTACTTTAGTAATCCCTCAAATCCCAGACCTTGAGCCGTTTGGAGGGCCCGTTGCCTGGCCAAAGCGCTCCAGCATCAGCTCAAACGTTGTGCGGACTATGCTCAGATCATTCGACACGTCCCCTGCGCAATCGCGCATGACATATTTGCTGCAGGCTACGTGGTGACGGGGCTAATCATACTTGGATTGCAACCATAGAGGATTTTGCGTGCAGTTCTGGGGCAAAGACTAGGCCACCAAGCCAGCCAACACCCTTGCAGCGCAGTTAGCTTAAATTCCTAAGAGCTATAGCTCTCTGTCTTAAGTGTGAGCTTGCAGCAAGTGATAAGCAGGATTCCAAACCCCAGGCTCTGCACATCTGAAACCGCAGGAAAGAGAAAAAGAAGCTGGGGAGCCCAATACCCCTGAAATAATGAGTATACATTGAACCATATGAGTAGGATGCAAGGTATGTTCCGTACTTGAAGGTATTGCAGGAATCCGGGGAAACTTGTTGAGAATCCGCCTGCGAGCAACAGGACGTCGTTGGGCCGTCGCGGCCACGTCCGGAGAACGTCCATGTTCTCCCTCAAGGCGTCTATCCGCATAATCATCGGCATAACAGCAAAAGGAAGAGGTAGCAGTACTAGCAGAAGCATTCGTACTAGTAGTTTTCGTCGTAGTCGTCATCATAGTAGTCGTCGTAGTACCGGTAGGAGTAGGAGTAGGAGTAGTAGTAGTAATAATAGTAGTAATAGTAGTAGCAGCAGCAGCAGCAGCAGTAGTAGTAGGAGTAGTAGTAGTAGTAGTACTAGTAGTAGTACTAGTAGTACCAGTGGCGGTGGTGGTGGTAGTGGTAGTGGTAGTGGTAGTGGGTAGTGGGTAGTGGGTAGTGGGTAGTGGGTAGTAGTAGTAGTAGTAGTAGTAGTAGCAGCAGCAGCAGTAGTAGTAGTAGTAGTAGTAGAATAATAGCAGCGGTAGCCCAGCAGTAGCAGTAGTAGCAGCAGAATTTAGTAGCAGTAGCAATGATAACGAGTGGCATGCTGCACTAGAGGCCCTTCGTCTGCTGGCACATCCCCAGCCAACAGTACTTTAACCCTCAGTATATCACGAAGATCATAACCTCATGATGTACGAGCCACAGCTTCGCGACACCCTGTACTATCAGGCCTCTTGTCGGTGTGAATGTCAGATACAGCATAGACTCCCATCTGGGATGCTCTGCAACCAGCATCCCCCGTAGTTTCTGGGAGGCTCTCAAAATCGAACATGGCGCGCTCAGAAAAGCCTGGAAACCTAGTTCCTATGCAGTTAATCATTAGGTGATACATGATTGGGGCTTCAGGTGCAGTAGCTGGGCTTACGGATTACAGGGCTTCTCGGGAAGCACGTGGATTTGATGATGTATCAAAAGGGGATACCCTGGAGACCCTCTATATGGTTCTGAGGATGCCTGAGGGTCAGGTTTCAGGGATAAAGGCATCCTGTCTCGCATCTGACTTGGACCCTTCCTGAGTTTAGCCAATGGCTGCGCTAGCAAAGGGACGGCACTGTTGACACTAGAAACCCTGCATGTATTTCGTGCACTAGACTACAACCTCTCTTGATGGTATAAGGTGCTTAGGGTCATGCAGTGTTTTGAGTATCAGCCATACTAGAATTGAACTGCTGTCTAATTGTTGAACAGTGGCACCTGTCATCTTCTCCGCTCCACCTAGTTGCAAAGCAAGCTTGAAACCCCTCAGCTTCTTAACACGCTACAGTAGCAAACTTCAGCAGGACCACATAAAACTCGTGCACAAAACTTTTCAGTGACTATGGAAATACCTCACTCACGAGCAATTCACATGCTTATGTTCGGACCTTGCCCCGCATGAGCAAAAGTCTAGAATCCTAGCATCCCCCTAATCAACCTTATGATACCCCCCTATATACTGACTATAGCTCGCATGTTCCGCTGGTTCATGGAACCCATGGCGAACGCCCGCCATGTTCTGGGGATGAGGTCAGTCAAGCCCAAGGAGCCCTCAAGCTTTCCCAAATGGCTGCATATGGCAGCTCCCCAAAAATGGGGATACCTGTTGCGGATCCCCAGAATAAGGATAATAGTATGTTGGGGTCTGTATTGCGGTCCCCTTACCTTGGAAAATCACCATATGCCCTTCTCCTGGCGAATCCTTTTTTTGTTTCTCTTTGTCATGGACAGATCTGACACTCAAAAGGCATATGAACCAGCACTGTTACGGCCATGAGAAGAGCTAAGAGGACAGTTGGCAGCCAGACGTCCTTCTCGACTAAAAGCGGATCGTTTCAGTGTTGACCACGGCTCAAACCCATGCTTTAGGCCTGTCTTGTACCAACTAGGCCTCGGTTTTGAACTGTTTCTTTCGCATGAGAAGCACATTGCAAAAATGACTAGCTTGTTCAGTAAGTTGAGTTAATTTAAGCCCCAAACGGCAGGTGGCAGGTACTGCAAAGGCCCATATACAATTACCCATATCACCTTGAGGTCTGCTTGAGATACTGGATGCCACAATTTATAGAATTTAGAACCATGATCCCATAATCCTAAAGCGACTTCTGCATTTCAACCCAGGTTTTCTTCACCTTTCATCTCAGGAACGGGACGTGTCAACTCTTTGAACCTCAAGCCCCGAAGGCAAGAATGCTCGGGCCAACAAATCCACTTTGCTCCTGTTTGCTGCTAGTTGCCAATGATGGCGCTTTTCTGAGGGGCTCGACGTGTAGAAACAACGCATACTTTAGGCCGTAAAGTTCTAAAACAGTCTACAAAGAACGTTTAATTTGGGCTATTCAAACCCTAAAACCCTAAACCCCTTGGGTTCCCCTACTACCCTCCGTATGCTACACGCCCGAGAGCGCTACTTTGAGGCTCCACGAGTAGGTTCTAAATGGAGTCAAGAGCAGACTATATCATCTCAACTGAAGGGGATTTATAGCCCCATGTATAACCTACTTAGTATGTCCCGCAGACATTCTATGCCCTGGACTCTCTACTGTATTTCTTTCGCCCCAATCTAACGCCGATTTCCATTCCTTTTCCAATTTCCTCGCTGTTTCATTCTCCATGGATGGAACATTGTTGGCCCTAAATCCTAAATAGTAGTTTCAATTATTCTTTTCCCCTAGCCCCAAAACCCTAAACCCGAATGCCCCTACGTAACCCTGTAATCCCGTTAATCCGTAAACCCTAAGCCCTAAACCCCATCACCACGTTAACGTGATCCTCCATTAGCTTCCCTGCCGAGCTTCAGGTTACTCTGCTGTTGCTGCGGTGGAGACTGCAAACAGCCCGTGCAGGATGCAAGGGTTTAGGGTTCACGGTTCAGGGGTTTAGGGTTTAGGGGTGTATATCTTGGGGGTTTTGGGGTTAGGGTGTGGGACTAAGGTTCAGAAGTTGTTCCTAGAAGGCTCGAACAGAGGGACAAGGCATGGGACGGCCAAGCACGCATGCACCTGGCGCTTTGGTGATAGTAGCTGTGGCACAATACTCTTTTTTTTGGAGTATGTGACTGCTATGTACTTGGACCCTTCTGGTCAGGTTTCAGGAGTTAAACTTGTCCCCCAGCTAGTGCCTCCATCCACAAGTGGTGCCATACTTTGAATATGGAGGGCCGCGATTCCAATTACCGTAATCCCTTGTGGTCCCAATTAGTGGGGAGGGCGGCAACTACCGAATTCATCTGTTCAGAGACGGCGCTATATGGATCCTTTATCTAAGCCATAAACCTCGTCAATTTGGCTTTGGGACCTTTTAAGTTTGGCTTGGGATCAGGACCCTACCTAACTCGTCTACAGTCACAAAGAAATCCTACAGCAATCCGTGCTGGTTTCTTGTTTCCCCAAGCCTCGTGAACAGCATCCACAACAGCCTAGAAACAGGAAGTGCTCCCTTCATAGGTACAAGAAAGCGAGCCTAGGAACAGAAAACGAAAGGGCGTAGCGCATTTGCTGTGAAAGGCCGAAAGAAATCCTTTGATCGCTGCTTCCTGCAGCTCAAACTCTTTAATCCAACCAATCACTAACATCTCTTCCCCTCATGTTTACAACCCCCACCCCTAATAATGAATAGTCCCCGCTGTCCCAATGCGTCCAGTCTTACACATGCTTTACAGCTACTATATTTAGGCGCGAGAGACTTAAACCAACCAGGATCAAGGGTTGCTTACAACGCATGTTAGGTTCTGAGGCCTTCTAGAGAGAATATTAAACAACATTCAACCATTACCTCTTCTCACGGTTGTGTGATGTGAGCGGTATAACGGCGGCTACCATCAAGCCAAAGTCATGCCGGATAAGAATAAAGGACTTAAGCAATGCCACTCTACAGTATTACCTGCGACTGCCTGCACTTAGAACTTTCACAAGCTTTGAGGTAGCAGTACCAGGTCTACCATTCCGAGAGGTACCAAAAAAGGCGGCAAAGGTATGCTAAAATAATCAAAATGACACTGAAGTTGGATATTTAGCTTTCAGGGTAGACCAGAGGGAATCCCAAAGCCCTGGCCCAAAACCCTCACCCCAATGGAAGAAGCCTGCTCGCGGGCTTCCAGGAGCTCAGCATCGAAGCCCACGTCATCGATGGCCTCCAAGAGGTCTTCCACTGCTACACCTACGATGCCCAGGAGGTGGTTCGAGGTTAGGGATCAGAATTTGGGATTTAGGATCTAGGGTGTAGGTTTGCAGGGGCTAGGATTTAGGATGTAGGCTTTCGGAATCGAGGTTTAGGGTCCGAAGGTTTGGTGCTTAGGGTTTTCGTCCGGGGTGTCATCCTAGCTTCGGGGCCGATCTTCTCTGCATCGTTCCACTTTCTCGGATGCTCCGCGAGGAAGTTTACTACTTTACTTTGCAGTGTTTAGGGTTAGGGCTTAGGATTTAGCCTTTAAGGTTTAGGATTGAGTTGGGGGTACGAGGGTTCAAGGCCTCCAGTTTGATCCGTACGCTATATGGAGGTATCCAGCTGTCGTGTTTGGGAAATACTTAGGATACGCTTCAGCGCCCATGCCTTTTGAAGGCGGCCTGATCCTTCCTGAACCCCCCTGAGTTAGACGAATTGGAGCTTCAACGCACGCATTGCAACTGCATGCGGGCGGGACTTGGCCTAAATTACGCTTCCCCCAACGAGGCAAATTCTACATAGGGACCCGCATCAAAAACAATTTCAGGGAATTCAGATCTGTGGGATCTGGGTTGCGGGCTTAGGCTTTGAAAGCACGCTACCCCGATAGTAGCTAAACCAGGTGGATGCTGAAAGCCAACCACGTCACGAACCCTAGGCATATGGAAGGGAATTCATTTACATGGGAATAACTATACAGGGATTAGGGTCCTTTTTTAGCATGCAATCAGCGCAATTTTGAGAGATATCCATATCGCAGGAGATCCAAATCTATCAATAATACCTGCTGCGCGCCCTAAAATCTACCTAATCCCTAAGACCCTAAATCCAAACCCTAAGCCCTAAACCTTAGAACCCTGAAGCCCTAAACCATCATACCCTAAACCCTGATCCCTTAACCTATTCACATATAGGGTATGGCAAGCCAAGGCACCTTTGTAGGTGACCTCAGCCCTCTTCATGAGAAGGTTCACCTGAGCTGCAGCGCAGCCATACACGCCTAGACATACTCGAGGAACATATTCTAGATAAAGGGATTACATATGGGTTATATGGGATTATAGCCTTATATAGTTATATGGGGATGTCTTACATATGGACTATGAAGGGAGATTATGCCCCCTGGAACGGATAATCAAACCGAAAAGCAAATGGAACATTAAATGGAAACTGGGCGATTGTGGTTTAGAGTTTAGGCACTACAGGGATATAGTCTTGAGTTTTGAGTCGGCCCGCTTTATGTCATGTGATTCTGTTTCAGGTCTAGACTTGAAGGCATGAATTTGAAGAACACCCTCGCCTGGATTTTCTCTTCTGATGGACGAGAGAGAGACGGATGTCAACGCAAGGAAAGTGACACTATCTTGGATTTGGATATAATTGCATGTGACTTATACGTTGTTTCGCCTAGTTGAACATGCCCTGGCCCTGCAAGCATCATATTCAGCATAGCCAAACAAATATCCCAAATGAGGCCGGTTCCGGCCAAGAAGGAGCAGCAAAACATCACTCCCTTGACATCCCTAGTCCAGAAACTAGTCCAGAAAGCAATTGAAGCCTGACAATCATGATTCTTCTCGTGCCTGCCCGGCACCCTTTCAAGTCAATTCAACTCAGAATGATACGGTTGCC